AATATGACTTAGCAGTATTTTCAGCAGTATAATATCTAAAGCAGGCATGGGCAAACGAAGGCCCGGGGGCCCGATGTGGCACATTCAGCTTTTTAATCCGGCCCACCAAACTTTTCTAAACTATATAATTTGTTTATATAATCATTATAATCCTTTTCCCTGTATAAAATGCCCACACCTGATCTAGAGTATCTAAGTTAGTTATCTGGATATTTTCCTCTGGTGTGTGAATGTGTGTGTGTTCTCACCTTGAGCAGCTCAAAGACAAAGTAAAGAGGTTTCGGTTCCTTCATCAGCTCGTCCAGGTCTTCGTAGCCGAGGCTGTGGTAGGCGAACATGTTGGCCATGCCACAGGTGTGGATGTGCCAGTCCACCGGATCTTTGCCTTCCGCAATGCGCCGCATGCTTTTAGACACGATAGGATAGACACCAGTGTGCTGCAGGAAACAGAGTTCAACAGGAGACGCATTTTAAATCCAAACCAATTCAATTATTTAATAGTCTAGAGTCTTATTATCAAATTATAAATATTTTCCCACAGTTTCCCACAAAATCTGAAATCTATATTATGTTGCTCCTGCAATAGCTACACTCCACCTAAAGCCCCCGCCCTTCACTTTTGAAACCAGTGCAGTAGTAATAACACATTTATTTCAAAACACATCCAGGCTGTTTACTTTGATCATTGAGGGAAGTTTGCCCTCCACTGGATGCCAGTGATAGTGCAGGCAGATGCAGTAGAGTGAGTGTGTGTGTGTGTGTTTGTGTGTGTGTGTGAAAGGGGGGTGCAGGGCCAGCTTTGTTGCAGAGAGAAGGGTATAAATTCTGTAGGACCAATCAAAGCTAATTAGGGTGGAGAGGGAGAAAGGAATGCTTATTCAACAGGAATCAGAGCCGATTAAGGGGAAAGTGAAGCAGCTCCAGATTAACGACAGTATGTCTCAATCCATCTGTCTCCGGGTGATTCATACAGACACACACACAGAGAGAGAGAGAGAGAGAGACACGCTGTATACACTCTTATAACCATTTTTTGTTGTATTGTTCCACTGTACGTGTACTGTGGACATATTCACAGTTTGGACCAGTTTGTGTTCCAGATGTCAGTGAGTGGTTCTACAATAGGATTAGGTTTTTACACAAACAATGGACAAACTCATAACATCACTCAGAAGGAAAGTATGTCAGGAATTCAAATTGAAAGTGGAACAATGCCTTTAAAAAAACACTTTTCTTTTCCCTCTTTCCGTACTTGAAAAAGCTGTGAAAACACAGCGCGTCTGTCGGTCTGCAGAACTGGACTCTGTTCCAATAAGTCACGCTTAATAAATGGAATAATCGAAGCTTCATTTAATCAGAGAACCACGTGTCGATCATTTTCGTTACTCACGACGGTGTCGCACCAGAACTCGGCCACCTCACCAGTCCTCATGGAGGACAGCAGGGCCTCCCAAATGTCCAGTTTGAACATGTTGCCGATCACTATCTCCATGGGCCTCCCGACAACCTTGCTGTCGTCTATCACCGTGCGCTCATCGTCGCACAGTTGGGTGCGGAAGTGGAACGTCACCTGAGAGCAGATATAAACGTTGATGTAGAAAAAGAGGAAAAAAAATAAGGTCACAGTCACAAAGACACGGTTGTCATGGTTATTTTAGCCCCGACTTTCTAACAAAGGTTGTTTTGCGTCTCCTGGACTTGTGGCCCATTTGTCAAGGCTACATCATTAAAAATGGTGGCCACTCTGTAGACTCAACCGTATCTTCTAAGCTGTCGTCACATCTGCATTCCCAGTGCGTTGCTTAATCTCTGAAAATACAGTACTCATTTAAAAGCACTACAGTAAGGCTGAAGTATATCCTATATCCACCTCTGCTGCCTGCCTGTGGGAACTATAAATCCTCCCCTCCCAACAAACTAATTGTGTTGACCTGTGCATAATTGGAGTTGAAAGTCGAGCACAATTTCAAACCAACAAATCACGGCTAACGAACGCTTTCATATTGAGCCGCAGTCACGTTCGTTCTTTATCACGGCTCCGCTTTTCAGCGACGGATTATTTATTTCCCCCTTTTAATGGTGAATTCAGTGCTCACTAAAGAACTTGTTCTCTCCGTGAAACGTCATTTCGTGCTCATAAAACAAGGCCTCCGTTTGCAGCGTTCGCGTCCCACTACCGGCTACGCGTGAGGCTCCTGCTGTGTGTGTGCAGGCCCACATGACCCTGTGCACGCTGCGATAATTAGACGCGTTTCATGAGTGCGAGATGTGGTGAGATTTAGAATAATGAGAGCAGCTCTGTGTTCACGTATGCTACATTTATCATATACTCGGCTGAATTACAATTCAGACAGACGGGGAGGGGCGATGAACAACAATATATCTGATGTTTACACAGCACAGATAAGCCAGCGAAGGCCGGGCGTACCTTTGCTCCAGTGATGAGTTTCGGAATTTCTCCGGTCCCTCCATGGAGGATTGTTTTCTTGATTCCCTCTGATCCCAGCAACAGCGTGTCCTTCATATCTGACATGTTGTCAGTCTTTGGTGTGCAGTTTATCTTTTGTTATATGTAGTTATCATGTAGCGCGTGTCACCACGCGTACCTACCAGTATGACCTGGAGGTGCTGTTCACTCGTATGGATTAGCCCAGGCAGGAGTAATAGGATTATAGAAACTTCTCCTCCTCTCCTTATGCACCGTCATCATCTATCTGTTGCTGCTTGAATTAATTGGCCGTCATCGGCTCCTTCCTGCAAGTACTCAGGAAAACACTCGGAAGGAGGCGAGAGCGAGGAGTCAGACATAACAAGATAGAGGAGGGATTCTGGATCGCCGTTAATGTGCTTCTTACACGAGGGAAGGGTTGTCCAAGAGCAGGACCGAAGTGTTTGAGGAAAAGAGAGAGAGATGGATCCTTCGTGTGTGTGAGAGACTAGTACATGCTTTCCATTCTGCAGGAAATGTCCTGGTTTTATGGGCATGTGGTGATGCAATGCAGGGAGTAATGAGAAAAGGTAGAGCAGACAATTACTCTATGGACTCCTTGACCCTGTCTATTAAACATCTGTCTGCCATCTGGCTAGTGTGTTTGTCTGTGTGTGTATGTGTGTAAGAGAGAGGCTTTTCCAAAGTTCCAGTGGGTTCCAGTGCATGCTAACAATTTTTGCGAGTAGTTTGAGAGGGCAATTATTCTGCAGAAATACCCCAGCGTTAATGCCTTATTCCACTATATTTGCCTTTCACCTTTGCAATGTTTTCATTTCTCAGACTGCACCGCTTGTGTTTCCTCATTAGGATTTTTTTTTTTTTTTTACCATCAGGCATTGCCTCAGTCCTAGCCACATCCAAACACATCTTCTCTAAAATCTTTTAAACACCCCATTTCATAAGGATTGGTTTGACAAAACAGCATTGGGTAACAGCTTGGTATTTAATTGGCTGCTCTCCCAGGTAAAGGAAAATAACACCCTCTGGTGATAAAGATCGGTAAAGCAGCAGGACTGCTCTGAAAGTACTGCTTTGGTGGACCTCACACTGATAAATGTCCTAGTACAAGAGACTCGAAACCTTAAGAAGAAATTTCAGTGTGGGTTTTTCATGCAGTGACACATTTTGTTAAATATGTTATAATATAGACCTCCAATGAAAATGGCCCATAATTTGCTTGATGTAGATTTTGGGGGAGGGTGATAGGGGATAGGGTTAGGGTGCTGTTAGGGCGAGGAGTTAGTGGTACAGTTTAGGGTGAGGGTTAGAAAAGTAAGGGTTAAGGCAAAATTAGGGTTAGGCTTAGTTAGTGTTAGGGTTAAGGTGGGGCTAGTGTAGTTGGGTGAGGTTATTAGGGTTAGGGTTTTTAAGGTTGGAGTTGAAGGATAGTTAAGGTTAGGGGTTAAGGTAAAGTTGGGTTAACATTAGTGTTAGTGTTAGGGTTAGGGTTAGGGTTATTAAAGCTTTAATTTCAGACTTTTATTTTGTTAATTCAGTTTTCTTTAATCTCCAGTTCCATTCATCTTAGAACCGGTTCACTGAGCTTGTGATGTCAAACGAGTCTGTGTCTAAATATACATTAGGCATTTAGGGAGTCAGACTTACGTGATGTGTTGACATAACATACCTGCGATGTGTACTTTGAGGCAGAACATCTATTTAACTCTTGTGTTGTCCTTTGGGTCTAGGCGACCCAGTGGCTGATAATATGCCTTTGTGTTTGTGTGTGTCTCTGTGTGTGTGTGCTCTTGTACTGCATGCCTTGGGCCAACTTTTTCCTTATACTCTGGTTCTGGGACAAGATGCAAACCTGTTGCGAGGACGCTAGGTGTCGTCAAAATGCGTAGGACAACGGGAGTGTCATAGCATAGCATAGCATAGCATAGCATAGCATAGCATAGTACGTTGTGTTTGGTCAATTTTTCCAAAAATAAGATCCTATTTGAACTGAAGAAGTCTCTTGGATGAGAAGGTGATACGTCTTCTTTTAGAAAAATTCATATCCAGTTGCCGTCCAGAACTCTACAACCTTGACCATGACCTGGATGACTGAGAATTTTTATAGACATGATGCTATTTTGGGCATTTCTTTAGCTCAACGTAACTTGCTAAAGAGCGTCAGTCAGTCAGTGCCCCACAGCTAAACACTTGAGTCAGGGTGACGTGAGTTGCTTGCGTCACACTGCCTACACCTCTGATCATTTCTGTGTGTGTGTGTGTGTGTATAGATGCATTTCTAAATCCCCTGTATGTACAGTGTGGTGTCAGAGAGTGTGTTAGAGCGTACATGTGTAAGTAACCGGTCCTGGCTGGTGGGAGGAGCTGCAGGCAGACCTCCATCATATCAGCTCCTGCTGGAAACTCCTCACTGATGCATTAGTTCCACTTAAAACAAGTCAGAGTCTATTTCTGGAAAGTACAGTCATGGCCTCACTGGGGAGGGGCTGTTCCTTTAGCCAAAGCCATTCGTTCATATACATAACATACGTGGGAAGGTTCCTTCCATGACGCACAGAGCATGATGTTTATGAATGTGTAAACTCTCCGTGCTTCTGCTCTGGGAATGAGGAACAGAGAACGAGTGAGGGTGTGTGTTTGTGTGTGTGAGAGAGAGAGAGAGTGAGAGAGAGACCTCTTTTTTTTCTTTCTGTGTCAGGTCAAATTGAAGCTGACCTATAAAAAGGAAGAAAAAGTAAAAAAAAAATTTAAATGCAGAAATACCAAGAACTGGAAACACATCTGTTTTCTTAAGTCTGAACTACATTTTCTTAATCATCACCTTTTTACAATCTCTCACTTTGTTCTGAAAATTCATCTCCAGGGTATTTTGTTACCTATATATTAAAAAAAATGCAGATAATTTAAGCAAAGGATGAACAGAAACGGTCCAACTAGCCCGCCGTAGCACACGCACTACCACTCACCAAAACATCTGTCCATTTCAAGTACATCGGAAGTTTATTTTCCATCTATTAAATTCCGTCTTTTACTCTTATGAAGTGACATAGGTTTCAATCTTTGTTTTTGGAAGTGTCGACCACAGTCTTCTACGTCCGTGACCATCTGTCCTTCCCCCTTCCCCATTCTCCAGTCATCTGGTCATTAGTGATTCCAGCTCCACAGCTTGGACGGCCGACATTAAAAAAAGCCGCCTTTTCTGTCTCCACTTATCATAGCTTTTAGTCTGCAGTCCAGAACAATCAGAACCTTTCAACTGTCTCCAACGAGCATTTCATGGAGAAACAGTTCTAGACTGGGATATTTCACAGTGTAGATGTCTTGCCAGATTTATTTCATTTTTTTAAATTTATTGACAAACTCATTTCCTAAGGCTGAAACCGCTGCAACAAATATAACATTTAAACTTAAGTGTGAACACTTGATAGTAATGAGGGTCATTTCTGTTGAGCTGCAGGAGAAGGTTGTGGATGCCGTGGTCTGATTCTCCTCTTCATGATGCATGAGACAGGTTTAAACTGCAGGATGGCCAGTCCACCAATCAAAGCAGTTTACCGTGACATATCTTTTACTGTTGTATTTTTACTGCAGCTGAAACATGTGTTCTTTAGTGTTCTTGTGTTTCTTTTTTCTTTAGGAACCTTTTCAACATAGATAGTTAGATACTGTATTTTCCGGACGTATTTGTTTTATCCTTTGGCTGGGTTTGAGACTTATACTCAGGTGCGACTTATATATTAAAATATATAATTTCACATGCTTTTTATTTTCACACTGACTGCTAGAGGGCCCCCTAGGCTTGTGTACCAGTATCTGCTACACCTGTAAGCCACACTTTTTTTCATCCTTTGGTTGGTGCAACTTATACTCCAGAGCAACTTATACTCATTTAAACAGTGTGATATTTTAAAATTAACACTGGAAACTGACATGGATGGGAAAGAAATAAAAAATCTATCTATCTATCTATCCATCCATCCAATCTGGTTTATTAACTTTGTACATTTTAAAGTCCACGTCAGTTCTCTGTCATTTGCAGCTGACACAACCATATTTTGACCAACTGCGCATAAGGACGCACCTAATCCAAATCTGTCTTAGCTTTAGCAGGATAAACAAACTCTCCATGTATTACTCATAACAGTAAAACAATGAATGAGTGACGAATGGCACAGACCTTCAATCTTTCCCTTTGGTCCATGTGTCGTCAGTGACTGTGTGAGAACTCACCATGTCACAATGAATTACAGAGGTCAGTCACGGTTGCCCTTCATGACCACACGTTCTTATCAATGGTTATGCAACATGTCCTAATGAAATCACACAGTGTTTAAGATACGATTCAGTCTTTTTATTATGTATCAGCACACGCAGATTTTCTCAGAATGAAGTCTCCGATTAGAAAAGATTGCACACACGACGACCTTTCTTTATAAAACTCTACACACAATGAAATTACCTGGATTAATAAAATAAAATAAAATAAAAAACACGTCAAAACATTTGCTCTAGCTATAATAATTAAGTTGGACAGGAAAATACTAATACTAAACAAATAATAGAATATCGTTAGTGTTGAATGTTTTCCCTTTAGTTTTCCCTAAATTTGCTGACTATGTTCTATTTGTTCTATTGTTCTGTTTCTGTTCTGTGTTTCTATGTTCTATTTTTGCTTTGACTAAAACAAACGAGCTGGGAGAATTTCAAGTACAGCAGGTAACTATTACCATCACCACTAGGTGTTGCTAAATCCCACGCTGTGTACTTTGGAGGCTCCATTAGCTTTATTGTCATAACATTTCTTTGATGCATGTGTGACTCTAGTTTGATGATGCAGCAAATGACACATCTGACACGTGTAAACGAGGGGAAGGTTCAGGTCTCAGGAGACAGTACTCTGAGAAGTTTCAGAGTCTTACGTCCTTTCACCTACATCATTTTGGACAGGCAGCACACTGAGGTTATGTCTGTGTGTGTGTGTGTGTGTGTGTGTGTAGCTGTTCTGACTTGCTAAATTCTCAAGTACAGCCTGCTCTTGAATTCTTGTGAAGTCATGCAGCGTTGCAAAAAAGAAAAAAAAAATGGACGGGAAGTTTCTGGAATGACAACATTGCTTAAATTGATCACATGTGCAGGGCACTTGCTGTTCCTTCATAACACACGTTACCTCATTCAGTCACCGTTTCAGGGGAGTAATGAACTCGGCTTAGTAACTAATCATTTTCTCAAGCATTTGACTCCTGCTGACGCCAGCTCCCCCTCAGAGGGCCCCTGCCATCCTGCTCCTCACTTGGCCCCGACCTTTAGCTACATACCAGAGCACATAGCAGCAAGGACAAAGGGCAAATGCACACAACATGTAAACTTGTACAGAAAATTGTCTGTGTAGTTACACCAAGGTCAACTGGACTGGACTCGTACGAGAGGCTTCCTCAGTTCTAGCTAACTGTTGGGTAGTTTCTGCTGTTTAAACTCAGAGAGGCTGAACACCTGAAAGAGAGGGTCTTTGGAGAAAACTAAAGGGGTGACCACACCCAAAACCAAAGGGAGGAGTGTTGTGACCTGAGGGGCAAACATGGAAAAACTACCATTCCAGTTGGCCTCGATGTAACTACTTTTGGGTTGTACAGAAAATACTCACTCTTTTGTTGATCACACCGCTGCTTTAATTTTAAAATGAACACTGAAATCAATGACTTGCATGGAAATAGAATAATGTTTTTTTAAAAATTTTCCGCACTATAAGGCGCACTTAAAAGCCTTTAATTTTCTCAAAAATTGACAGTGCGCCTTATAATTCGGTGTGTCTTATAGTCCGAAAAATACGGTAATGAGATGATCTGTCACATGATATCAAGGGATGAAAGACTAAAATCATTAGTCAATCACATGATGGTGTCAAACTCAGTTTGGTTCAGGGGCTAGTACAGTCATAAAGTAGCTACAGTAAGTAGTACACAGTGTTTTGTACATGTAGTACATGCCCCCCCCCCCCCTTCGGTGTGTCTTATAGTCCGAAAAATACGGTAATGAGATGATCTGTCACATGATATCAAGGGATGAAAGACTAAAATCATTAGTCAATCATATGATGGTGTCAAACTCAGTTTGGTTCAGGGGCTAGTACAGTCATAAAGTAGCTACAGTAAGTAGTACACAGTGTTTTGTACATGTAGTACATGCCCCCCCCCCCCCGCTTTTCTGCAAATAAGTACAAGTATATTAGAAAATATTCATGTTTAATGAAATATAATTTGACAGAACATCACAAAAATTAAGCATTTTTTCACTTTCAAATTTCATGAAGAGGGTCAGATTAAACCTCCTAGCGGGCTGGTTTTGGCCCGCGGGCTGTATGTTTGACACACCTGATATAGATAATAACGATTAGTTATTAGAGTGAGATACTGTGTGGGTGACGTTTGTGGCTTACAATGCTGGTCTGGTTAGGAACCATCCTGTCACGTGGATCCTTTAGAAAAACAAGACAATTTTTGTGTTCTTTTCAAACAGGACAAACACATTCCAGTAACACCTGCTAAACACTTGGCCTTCGCCGTTTTCTGCTGATCAGGATATGAACCTGGAAGTGAGTTATTAAATGTGTCTGAAGGACAGCCAACAGGATCAATCTAAGTATTTCCACCCAACACACAAGATTAATCTCCGGGTCAGACAAGGTCAAGGGATTAAATGGGTGGAGTTCGACAGTCATCCTGTCTGACCTTAATGTACTTAACCTGGACATTTCCTGAAGCCAAAGTGTAGCACTAGGCTACGGAAAGAACTACAGGGACTCAGTACAGCTCAGACCACACATGGGTTTTCTTGTAAATGTCAGAGTAATTGAGAAGTGTATATATATATATATATATAATGGAAATGTGTCATTGCGTTACAGTCTGTCTGATGGTGTTTAATGTGAACTGTGAACTGTGCTTTTGTCCTGAGGGACAGACAGGGCAAGCTGGTCCTGGGCCCTGGCTAAGACTCCTGTCAATTTCCTCAAAAACCCAGGATTACATATAGAATGGAACAAACTGTACACTCTCCAGCATGTTTTGGGTCATAAACTTGCATTTTGAAGCATTTGAGGGACTATTAATTTTTTTCTATTTTTTCGTGATAGTAAGATAGACATGATGGTTTTTGGAGTTTCAGGCACAACTTATACACTTGGCAGCATGTTTCGGTGCAAGAAATTGCCCTATTTCGGGGACTTAATTTTTTTGCATTCTTTCTTTATAATGGACAGTGGTGGCTTATGGGTTATAGAAGCGGTCTTGGTTCCAAAAGTCATCAGGTTCGAGTCCACCAGCTGTCAAGTTATCACTGTGGTGCTCCAAGCATGGCACTGTTCTCACACTCTGCTCCCCGAGCGCTTATAGCTGCCCACTTTAGTCTTGCTTGTTTTTGGTGATATTTAAGTTCAGATATGATGGTCTTTGGAGTTTTTAGCACAAATTATTCATCTTGCAGCATGTTTTGTGGCATAAGCTTGTATTTTGAGGCATTTCATGGATTTTCTATTTTTTTCATTTTTTAATGATAGTAAGGCATGTTTTGGGTGAT